GGATATTGTTCCTATTTTGAAGGGTCTGGCAGATGTAAGCAGAAGTTGGCATCTTCCGGCTCCAGACTTTTAGAAATCATGTTGCATTTTCGTTAAAAACGCCCTATCCCAATTTCTAAATGATTATACTCTGCATTTTTGGAGGCTTGACTTAAAATCTATACTTTTTACTTCATACACACACTTGTTGTGGAGCGGCATTCACATCAACTGGCTTTGCATTAGCACCCCCAGCAGGATACACAATGTGCATGTGCAGATTCTCCCCACCACTTCAGGTTAAACTTTTAATACCGATTTAACAAGAAACCAAGATTTTCCCGCTTTTAGCCACTTTTAGGAGAATTTTGTGCCACTAGATGACACCGATAGTCCAGATAAACTACCGATTTTTGCTTATTTTTACCTGCTTTGTTACTTTGCTACACGAAGCGCTCGATTTCAGGGCTAGACTTCTGGTACTACTGCCGTCTTGAGAGGCAAAAGTTTTCATTGTAGCCGTTCAAATGCTACCGGTGCTATCCACACCATGAGGATGAAATAAGGCTCACTGATCCTTGAATTCATTAACAAGTAGTTGTAGTGGTACCGCTCGAATCGCCCACTCAGTCAGACCCGATTGGAGCTGCAGAAACGCCCAGCACGGCTGCCCATCTTGGATTCCGTAAGAGTAATCGGGGCGAAGTGAAGAGAGCTCATATTATCACCTGTACAATAATGACGCTGGCCAAAGAAGCCGGTGAAACTGACGCATCATTTAAGTGTTTGCGGCAGATGAGACAGTTATCATGACGCGAGTATCGGCCGATTGGGCGAGTATTGGGCTGCAGTGCAAAGGGAAAAGCAGGAAATTGCCCGTTAACTGACAGTCAGAGGGAGCTCGGAGGTGCGAAAGAGAGAGCGAGCGAGAGAGAGAGAGCGCGCGACTTTAGAGAGAATGAGTGAGACGGAAGACGACAGCAGGAAAGGGGTCAGAAGAGGAAGAAAGGCTACTGCCGGGCATGGGTGGCCCGAGGATGTGGAGACGAAGGAAGGGTTGGGGAGGCAGGTGGGAAAAGAGAGAAGAAAAGGCCAACATTGGGCGAAAAAAGAAAACTGACACGAGGCCAGTGGAGAAGCTCGAGTAGAGAAAGAATAGCAAAGTTGACATGCGAGGTCTTATTACTTTGAAAACAATTGAGCTGAGGCTGAGTAGATCAAAGAGGTGAAAGTGGGAAAGTGGGAAAAAAGAGGAGGAGCATCAAAGGCTGCCTGAAGGGGGTGGGAAGATTTGTGGGCTCGACGAGGGGAAGTCAACATAATGTTGAATCCGTCGTGGTTGAATGTGATAATTGCCGTGTAGCAAACGTGATCAAGCAATTAGGATATACCATGACCCCGGCCCAATTTGTGTTGGCATAACGGTAGGTAAACGTATTCGGTCTTTCGAGGGAATCCCAACAAAGCAATTATTTTCGAGGTTAGTATGTTGTTTGATTGTAGCCGCCTTATTCGGATTTGTCATCTCTCCTCATCGGGACTACTTTGAAGTTGATCATTTATCATTCGTCGTCCAATTTTATCCTATCCTCTCCCCGGAAGGGAGGTGATACGGGGGCGGTGGAAGCGGTCGGTGACCTGCACGGGGTTCGAGCTCAGCTGTGACTGGCTCATTTGTACCAGATCGCGGTACCAAATTTCACGCGAGGTCTACTACAGAAACCATCAGTCCAAGTCAAACGAAACGACTTCGCTTTTAAGGGACTGCGCCAAAACTGACATTTCTAAAGGACACTTTTTGGCATATAAATGACTTAACAAAACTTCCTACACAAAATAAACCACTGGGTATCTCGGGGCAACGGCTAATACTAACTATAGCATAGGGATTTGAAAAATAATAAACTGCAAAAATTATTGGAATAATGATCATCAGCACTAGGTAGTATATATTTAATTAAATATCATTTACTCATTCGTGATTTATTATTATTATTAGTTGACATCTAATCAATTTATAAAATAATTGAGGCCGCACTTCGAAAAAGCGTTTTTTTGTTTTAGTATAAAAATAGCATTAAAAATGCACATAGATATGTATGCATATAACTAGCCACTTTGTTGTAATGAAGTAAGCTTCTTTAATGAGTGTGACTTATGGAAATATAGACTCGCTAATCTTGGATCTGAAGTCTCCGCATCCATCACGGCACATTCAAGAAACTTGGAAGTTTTCAATAAGTAATTAAAATGAGTTTTTAAAGGTGACATATGAACAGCCGATAGAAAGGGGTGATTTGATTGTAAGCTTGAATGCATACACAAACATTCCGATCGACTGGGTGAAAGAAGAGGTGGAAAATTAGGCAAAGATTCATTCATTATGATAAAGAATTTAGCTATACTCATTCTATATTTTACCTATGCTTGTGAGTCTGTAAAGAAAATGAGATGTTTACTTGTGAGCTCGTGTTTAGCTCTAATTTTGGCTACTAATTACATTGAAGGTTCAATATGATTTTCGATTGTTTCAAGAGTCACTCTCAGTCATAAAGTTGGTAGTCAGGCTATTTTGCTGCTTCGTTTAAAGGAATGAAGGACTGGAAGTTAAATTTTCCCACAATTAGGTGAGTAGGCCTCACGCTTCAAATGAAGTGTGCATAGACTTACTCTCAAAAGGTGCTCTCCTCCAGACTGGAGTGGACTGCCATTTCGACCCTGCATGAGTGGGTCACATTAGTGTCCCAAGCGGGACTCGAACCCGTTTGTGCTAGAGCAACGTACAGTATTGACATGTTAACCGCTAAACCAAACTGCCACGAGTACGTTTGCTATTGGACTAAATGGCAACAATGGATTAAAAGAATTCCCTCAGTCCATGAATAGAATTAAATGGATCACTAAATTTACTTTCAAGTTAAAAAAGTATGATAGGATACCATGTCTGGGTGTTCTGGTGAGTAGGGAAGAAATTTAATGAAGAAAAGATTCGTTTGGAAAGCCAAATAGGCGGGTTTCATTCTTAGAAGGGCTAAAAGTTGTTTTGCAATCGAAACTAATGAGGAGTCTGAATCTAGTAGATGTAAATCACCGAAGATAGGTTAAAGCAAGATTGATAAATATTTTTGTATAAATGCATATATCCATTAGGATTGATAAATTAATGCCTTTATATACTCAATAGGAGAATCAGGGAAAATGGCTATTCAGGGCAGAATAGACAGATAGACCATTCTACTCGATTTTTGGGGGTTTCATCTTGTTAGCCTTTGAAAGAGGTAAGTGAACCAATGAAGAAGTAGAATAACAAAGAGGAAGTTTTGAGAAATTTCTGACCCTCTCTTTTAATCAAGATATTACAAAGTTTTGTGTTCCCTGGGAGAAAGACCAACTCACCCATCTATTGATCCATAAATCTGAACTTGCCGAAAGTATGACTAAAGTTGGGTTAAAATAAAATAAAAGTCTTTTTCGTCTATAAGTAGGTTTTAGAGACTACTAGTAGATAATATATATGAGATATGATCACCCTATTTTATGCAAGTTGATTAAGGGCTGGTTTTTGAGTCGTAGCTCATTCCAATGAATATGCCTAACGTTTCCATAAAATTCCACATAGATTTGCTTCCCAAAAGGTAGTCTCATCCAGGCAGGAGTGAACTTGGGTTTCGACCTCACCAGAACTGTTCTCATCAGCGCAGAGATATGGGAAAATGCCTGGCATTCCTTGAAATTCACATCCCCCCACTGGTCCATGGACACTCGTGGGAGTGTGGCGCAGTGGTTAACTATAGAAAATCTTATTAGACAGTAAGGTCATGAGTGGGAATATTCAACTACCAGTCCTTTATTACTTTAACGAAATAGGGTGAATATATTTTATATTAACTAAAAGTAATTTATGTATATTTATGTATGGTTGTGTATATCATTTTATGGTAAGTATGGGTAAAGTAAAGTGAAAATATAGTTAAATTCTGCTTCATCGATAATCATAGGAAAAAGTGTGATGTGAACAAGGCCCTTGGACTCACTGACAGTATGACGTAGTGAAGAGATACTGGGTTTCGAAGAATTCCTTAATGAAATATTGTGGCATGACTTTCCAGTTCAAGGGAAATGTTAATTGGAAGGAATTCGCACAATTCAGCAGTCTTCCCTACGCGGAGGGAGAGGAATAGGAAGAGAGAGAGAGAGATTTGAAGGAAAAGAAGCTCGTAAAAAGCTTCGGATCTACCTGGGGCTCTCAGGTCTCACATTACTGCAACCCTGCATGCATACAAAATACAATAGTATGTGGTTGGACATACGTCAAACGTTGCTACATTTCTGCAGTTGTAAACGCATCCATTTTCCCTACATTAATCAGCCACACTCATCTCCAGGCCTTTTAAGCATGCATGGCGCGGTCAACCAAACAAGAGGATGCTACATTAAGATAATAAAAGTAGGTTTAAGGGGGAAGTGTGATTATTTATATGAGATGTAGTCTCAAAGCTCTACTTATAAACGAAAAATAAATGTGGTTACTGTCGGCCAACCTTTTCGTTCTAGTGTATTTAGGCCCTTATTCCTGAAGGGTGCTTGCTTTTTCTGACAATTTCTGTCACATGCCAGACGAAACCACACTTCGTGTGGATCAGGGTCACAGAGCAATAGGTTGATGACACCTTCGTACAATCCAACGATCTCCACCTCTCCGATCCTTCGATCCTCCTTCCTTATCCCACTTTTCGACTCCATTCAGATCAACTTTATCCATCTGTCTGGGAATACTGGCTACTTTGGAATAGTTTATAGCTGCATGCTGATCGCTAGTTACGAACAACTATACATTTATTCTGACATGACTTTCCATTTCGAATGAAAGGTCGAAATGGAAGCAATTCGTGATGTGGTCGCCCTGCAAACCGAAGGGGGATTGCGCATAGTGACTGTTGTATTGTGCGAAGATGTCTTCGGCTCAGCGTACAGCGACCCCGAAGAACCTATACTAAGCTTTCGTCTGTATCGTCGTGACAGACATCATCAGAGCAAAAATCTATACGTTGCGAAGAAGAACAAAAATATACTAAATGAAGAGTACAGATGGTGGGTTGTAATCCTAGATGAAAACTTACCACAGGTTAATCGGAGTCGTAGGACGGTGAGCCGAGGACATCTTTGCACAATACAACAGTCATCACTACTTGGCAATCCTTCTTTGGTTTCCGGTAAGACCATTTCACAAATATATTCCAACAAACTTTCCCTTAGAAATGAAAAGTCATATCAAAATATATTGCTAAGAAATTCGTAGAAACCCAGTTTCGATTCATAGCTTTGAGCTATGAATAATTCAATAATAATTCAATTCAATTCAATAATAATTCAACCAATAATTCAATTCACCCTATACGACCTAGTGATAGTTATGAAATCTACATTTTATTCACATCTGTTTTAGCTGAAACTATAAAAATAGTGATCGTTACTTTTCTACCTGATAAATTGGCCAGTCTAAGAGTTAGAACCCCTTAGTATTTAAACATAAGTTTTGATCTTTTTACCCTTCCGATCTTATATTTTCATTCACTTTTATTAACAACTATGCACCATGTCACTGTTTTTAGCCAATAACATGTTCACTGTATGTATAGATACTAATAGTGACGAAGCATTTAGTTAATTGTTCAATTTATGTTGTGCGGCCTCTTGGAAAAGTTATGCCAGCATGGCAATGGCTTAAGGTGATCTTCAGTGATTCGAGAACTTGTAATAGAATTTCTGCCTCATTTATGTTACTAGGCCTCAACTTCCACTGAATTTCACTTCGCTCTGACCGCCAAAATGGTTGATCACCAAACTCGAAGTGAAGCTCAATTATTGTCCAGGTCTCATCGTGGGCCCCAAGTGGTTTCTAAAACGGGATGGTACGGATCGGGGCGGTACATGAACGCAGAGGCAATACAGCCACTTGGTCACTGGGGAGATGTGGCTTCGAAAGCGAACCAGAATTTTCGATTAGGTTAACATGTATTTTCCAGTATTGTATTAGGTGTGAGTTTGGTTCGAAACAATACGTAACCCATGGGCAAGAACTTTGTCATCATGGGTCACTGCAAACTGGATAAAATTCAATGGGTCCTTAAATTACCTCTGATTCTTTCGAACTATACATACACTAAAAAGGGGAGAGTAGGCGACTCGGCAGTTACACAACTCTAACTCATATTGCTCTATTTCCGTATTATGGGACATAGACTACTCGTTTGCTCATTAGTAGTTATGAGCATTGATGATAAAGAAATAAACACATGATTCACTATTGTTCTTGTGGCGTAGAGACGACTTCGACACCTCGAAAAATTTGACGCTGTTTTCTCTCCATCAGTTGTTGTCCTCGTTGAATTGTGGACAAAACGGAAGGTTAGAGTCAGAGCTACGTGACAAACTAGTCCCAGTTCGACCCGGCCGAAAAAGAGCCCAAATGAATAGCAATAGAAGCACCGGCCGGTTGGTCGGCCAAGCGGGGGACACCAATTTCTCCATTCCTCATCATCTGCCGACCGCCATAGTGACCACTTGGAAGAGGAGATGTCAGTCGGCTCTGACCAGACCTCTCCGAGCCTACCCGCCCCCTGCAACAAATCGAGAGTGTAGACTCTGCGGGTAGAAACGGAATTCAGAATGAGCCGGTCAGCACGCAGCAGTCTGTGCCCATGCTGGGCTTGATCAGAGACGAGACAAACCAAATCAGGTACGCAAGTTAGGGGACGTGAGGTGGCAGAGCATCGGAATAGAAACTCTCGGGGAGGCGAGACTCGAACTGGGTCCTCTTTCTTCTGGCATGCCGTTGGCAGATGTCCAGGACATATAAATCCCTGACCCAACCACTCGAAAGTTAGGCAAACTCAGAAGCTTTGTGTGTTCGTGACCGTTAAATTGTGCGTGAATTGAGAAGATCGCCTTTGCTGCACTTAAATGTTCATTCACTTTTCCTTTGACAAGCCCATTTCGTCTATCACTTGATGATCAGAGGTAATTAAAAGGGCCATACAGGCGATGGCACCAATAATGACGATATTATGAAAATGATGATAAAGATTATATTACTGTTGATAATGATAATCATGATGAGGGGGGTGATTAAGATGATGCTGATGATAGAGATTATGTGTAAAACCATTATGCTGATGAAGATGACGATTATGTTAAAGCTATTGCTGTTGCTGCTGCTGCTGAAGTTCCTGATGAAAAAGTTTATGCTGATAACAATGGTAATGATGATGGTGCTGATAAGGCTAATGATGATGAAGATTATACTGATGATAATGAAGCTGATGATAAAAACAATAAGGATACTGATGATGATGATGCCGATACTGATACTCATGATGATAATAAAAAATAAAGATTATGCTGTAAACGATAATGACAATGTTCATGATGATGACGAAGACGCCGATGCTGCGCATACTTCTGCTGCTGATAAAGATGATGCAGGTGGGGATAATGCTGATGGCGCTATTGATAAATATCATGCGGATAAAGATGCTCATGATAGGGATGCTGATAATGATGTTGAGATAAAGATTATGATACTAGCGTGGATGACGACGATGATGATGCGGATGCTGCCGATGCTCACCTACTGCTGCTGATAATGATGATAGTGTGAGTAGGGATAATGATGATAGTGATGATGATAAAGATTATGCGTATAG